GCTCCGGGGGACATAACTGGGAAGTCATTGGAGTCCCTTCTCTTCAGTTAAGCTTGATGCTCCAAGCTGCTACCAACCAGACGTTGGTAGCAGCAGATTACTCCCTGGAGCTCTGCACTTGCGTTTGCCGGTGACAAACAGACGCAGGGAGCGGCGGGGTCGGGGGCTCGGGACAGAGACCCGCGGCAAGCGGGGAGACGGAGCCGAGCGATGCAGGGGGGCTGACCAATCCTGGATGCCTCGGACAAGCCTCCCGGGTCCTACTTCCAAGCAAATTTACTCAAGTTACCGAACGGGTTTGAGACAGGTCAGACTTACCTGGTTTTGGTACAGTGGGATGAGAGACACAAAACCCGAGTCGCAGGCAACAGCTCTAGAAAGGCGTGTCAGATTAGGCAATGGAACGATGCTATTGCAGAGCCTGCCTGGGGAGATGGGGAAGGAAAAAAAGGTAATTCAGACTTGATCTACAATGATCTGAAATGATAGAAGTCTCCTTCAAATAATTCTCCAGCACTCACTCTCCCTTACTCTTGAGTAAGATGCAATTCTCTTTGTAGATAAAAAGCAGTTTAGAGATCAACTAATTTAACAATTGGTGTATTTGCAAGTAAACTAGGACTGTTTTAAGGGTATTCATTAACACGCAGCATATTGTAACAATGGGTTTGACATTTCTCTTCTCCAGGATGAGGATCCTTTCTGGCTGCCTTCATTTCCACTTCGTTTCTTTCTTATTCAGTGGAGCAAATGGATTCCTAATGTGGAGAATACCTACAGCCTTGCTAGTATATAACTACTCCTATTCAAACCTCTCCTCTGTCTCAGAAGCACATGCTCCACAAACAGCAAGAGCTCTCAATTTCTCACATAATCTCATTGAAAAAGTAACCAAGAGAGACTTGGAAGGTTTTGATTCACTGGAAGTTCTAGACCTTTCTTACAACTGGATTAGGGATGTTGAGCCTGGTGTGTTCCAGAGCCTGCTCAGCCTGGTTTCTGTGAATTTATCATTTAATGATAAGAAGCTGCTTCTGTCAGGTCTTCCACCCCACCTGAAGCTCTCACCCACTGGCAAAGCCTCGGGACCTTTGCAGCTTTCTATGTCTTTTGACAAATCCTCAAAGGCTGCTCTGGAGCTTTTGGTGCCTGCTGAGGAGCTGCCACATTCCAGAGGTCCATCTGTCCTGCAAAACATTAAGCCCAGGCTCAGGAGAAGCACAGGGAATCTTCTTCGAAGAGGAGAGAGAAATGCAACTGTCTCTTCAACAGCCACACCAAGACCCAGCTCCTGTGGAACACCCATAAATGGGACACTCGATTTGTCCCACAGGGAGCTCTCCGAGGATGAGTTGATGTTAAAACTGGATGAGGATCTCTGCCAAGCTCAGATGGAGACTATTGTGGAGCTTGATATTAGTCACAACAACCTGGAAACGGATCTTCTGTCGCTTTTCAGTTTGTTCTTGCCAATGATAAATGTGCGGTCCATCGATGCCAGTTCCAACAACCTAACCATTAACATCCTGAATGCTGAGTTCTTCTGTAAGTTCCCATTCCACCAGCTTTGGTTTGTAAACATCAGCCACAACCCCATCAACAGCTTGGATACGCTGTGTCTCCCTTCCACCACCAAGGAATTGGATTTGTCCTTCACCAACATCAGTCAAATACCTCAAAATTTCATGAGAAAATTTTTAAACTTGGAAACCTTGTATGTTCATGGAAATCACTTCATCTACACAGCATCTCCTGAGAGTGGGAATGCAGTTCCAACATGTGTCCCTCCCTCTGGGACTATACACATCAACGCCATTTCCTTCATCAGGATGGAGGCTGGAACACCCATTGAAAGCCTTCCCAAGAAACTGAAACACCTGGGAATGTCCAACTGCTCCATCGTAGAACTGCCAGAGTGGTTTGCTGACACAATGGAAGAACTGTTATTTCTGGATCTCAGCAACAATCACATTTCTGTACTTCCTCATTTCCCTCCCTCCCTGCAGCATCTTGACATCAGCAACAGTGATATTAAGGTCATACCTCCCAGTCTGAAATTACTCTCCAACTTAACAGTATTTAATATTCAAAATAACAAAATTATGGATATGCGGGTTGAGTATTTCCCATCAGCTTTAAAAAAATGTGATATTAGTAAAAACAAGCTGAAGGTGTTGTCCTTAACTGATGCCCTGGAGAACATGGAACACCTTAATGTTTCTGGGAACCTGATCACCTGGCTGGAACCTGCTGGCCACCTTCCTGTGCTCACCAGCCTGGACGGCAGTCACAACCTCATTTCAGAGCTGCCTGATGGCTTTGGGAAATCCTTCCCAGTGCTGAAATACTTTAATTTATCAGGAAATAAGATCTCCTTCCTCCAGCGTGCTGCTCTCCCAGCTTCTCTGGTCGAGCTGGACATCAGCGACAACGCCATCACCACCATAGCAGAGGATACATTTGCCCCACTGATGAGCCTGAGGGTTCTGACTGTTCAAGGGAGACATTTCTTCTGTAACTGTGACTTATACTGGTTTGTGAATGTCTATATCCACAACCCACACCTGCAGATCAACGGCAGAGGAGACCTCAGGTGCAGCTTCCCGCTGGACAGAAGGGGCTCACTGGTGGAGAGCAGCGACCTGACGCTGCTGCGCTGCTCCCTGGCCATCCAGCTGGTCATCACAGCCTGTGCTGCCAGCCTGGTCGTCTTGGTGTTAACAGGCTTGTGCTGGCACTTCGATGGGCTGTGGTATGTGAGGATGGGCTGGTACTGGTGCATGGCCAAGAGGAATCAGTATGACAAGAGGCCAGAAAACAAGATCTTTGATGCCTTCGTTTCGTACAGCGAACATGATGCTAACTGGACCAAAGAGAACCTGCTGGAAAAACTGGAAACTGATGGGTTCAAGATGTGTTACCATGAGAGGGATTTCAAACCAGGGCATCCTGTACTCGGAAATATTTTTTACTGCATAGAGAACAGCCATAAAGTCCTCTTTGTTCTCTCTCCCAGCTTTGTCAACAGCTGCTGGTGTCAGTATGAGCTTTATTTTGCTGAACACCGGGTCCTCAATGAGAACCTGGATTCCCTCATCATGATTGTGTTGGAAGACCTCCCACCTGACAGCGTGCCGCAGAAGTTCAGCAAACTCAGGAAACTGCTGAGAAAGAAAACCTACTTGAAGTGGAGCCCTGAGGAGCACAAGCAGAAGATGTTCTGGCACCAGCTAAGAGCTGTCTTAAGAACAACCAACGAACCTCTTCTAAGAGCAGAAAATGAATCCGATCATAGAATCACAGAATGTTAAGGGGTTGGAATGGACCTTACAGATCATCTAGTCCCAACCCCTGCCCTGGGCAGGGACACCTCCTACCTGCCGAGGTTGCTCAAGGCTTTATCCTACCTGGCTTTGAACACTGCCGGGGCTGTGGCATCCACAACCTCCCTGGGCAACCTGTGCCAGTGTCTCACCACTCTTACAATAAAAAAACTTGATCCTAATATCTAATCTAAATTTCCCCTCATTCAATTTATACCCATTGGTCCTTGTCTTGTCACTACAGTTCCTGATGCAGAGTCCCTTTCTGGCTTCCCTGTAGCCTCTTCAGATACTGCAATGTTGCTATGAGGTCTCCACAGAACCTTCTCTTCTCCAGGCTGAACAGCCCCAACTTTCTCAGCCTGTCTCTATAGAGAAGGTGCTCCAGTCCTCATAGCAGCTTTGTGGCCTCCTCTGGACTTGCTCCAACAGTTCCATGTTCTTCTTATGATGGGGACACCAGAACTGTGTGCAGTACTGCAGGTGGGGTCTCACAAGAAAACCTGCTGGAAATGCATGAGCTGAAATGAGACCGGAGGAACTGTGAAGGCTGTGCCTGGAAAGCCTGAGGTCAAATAAAAGCATCTACCTCCTGCAAAGGCTGCTGTGGTGCCACAAGGTTGCTCTGGATCAGTCCCAGGAGAGGTTCCTACCACGTCTGTAGCACATGAATTATTCCCTCAGATACAGGAATCCTGAAGGGATGAGACACCAGCATGGACAAACAGCCTTTTCCTGGGTGCTTGAATTTCCTCAGCTATTCCCAACGCTTCTGGAAATGCTGTGGGTGTATCACATGGAAGGAGGAACAGCTTGAGTCAAACTGCATGTCCTCACTGTCTTTTTGAGGTGATTGCAGCAAAAAGTGGTGTCTGACACCTGGAGTAAAGATTCCTGGTTCTCAGACAGCTTAAGGTGGGAACACACGCTGTGTGCAGGCAAGAAATCCACAAGCCATGCTGGTACACAAGTAACAGCTGCTTTTTGTGGTTTAGCAAGAAGAGATTAAAGATTTACTTCATTTAGTCATCTGAGAGATGCAACTGCAACTCCACACTGCTACAGCCTCTGATTTCAGTGGCTGGTGGAAGAGATCAGACTTTAAAATTGTATGTAAAAGTACAGAATAAAATATACAACCAGACAATCCAAAAAACAGCTGAGTGTCTTGGTCTCTGATGTTAAGTAACTGGGTGAGCTGTGTTTAATCACAAAGCTCTGAAGAATAAGCAAGTTCTGTCTGTTACTATTTAGATCTAAGAAAGCTTCACTTGACACAGTCACCCTGGCCCATTGCTAATGGAATCAGTGCTACCTCTGCATGACCCTTGTGCTCAGTTACTGCCACTTCTTAATTTCTTTTACTGCACTTGTAAAAAAGCCAAAAATAACCAGCTGATCTAATTTCCACATTCAGGGGAAATCAACAGCCTGTGACAGAAAATAAACACCAGATGAGGACAAATCATTTGGTGTAGCACAACCTGGACTTGCCTGTGCAGTGAGCAAATCCAAATGACTGCAGCAGAAGATCCCAGCTCCAGGAATGCAGGATGGCTGCGTTCAGCACGTTTGGAACACTGACTCTGAAAAGGAATTAGCTCCAACAACCAGAAGTCACTTACTAGTGAGATCAGCCCCAAGTAATTAATCAGCTGTTTTGCTTTCTTGTTTCTAAACCATTCAGTGTTCACATTTATCACTGACTCTTACCCATCTCCTCTCTTCCCACGCATTTCCCACCTCCTTCATCCTGCACTCCACTGCTCCCCTCTCAATTTCATCACTGCTTTTTAACCTCACAGTTACTCTTTACTGGAGCTTTCCTGGTTCTGTGTTCAGCAGAAGAGGTAGCTCACACAAGGGACAAAAGGAAAAAAGAGAAGTTACACTCTACATGAGTATAAACCAATTATTCCATCATAGAATTATTTTAGTTCATGATTCATTGCAAAGTTGTACCTATATATTTTCAAAATCCAATCTTGATTTACTACATCCATAAACCTCCCACAAAACAGTTATTTAGTACAACTGGCAGTTTAAATCAGGTTTTGTTCCTACTGAAGATGAAAAGATGTTGCAACTCCCTATCTGACACCGTGTTATTACATATATTAATACCACTGTGAGCACGCGGGTGGTATTAAGAGTATAGATGGCACCAGGAGTTAACAAAGAGCAAATTACAAAGTGCTTTGATGAGATTTCAGTTCTTTGGTGTTAATAACACGTCCTATAAAGGCAATAAAACCTCCTTTCTTGCTTCACTCCCACCTGAATAGTCAATGCAAATGACTTACGAATTAAAAGTGTGAGGGATTTAACCCTGCAGCATGTCACGAAGTTCATGTGATACGAACTGAAGGCCCAAGAGAAGTTGCACATACACACAGCAAACTCCAAAACTGCCTCGTGTATTTTTCCCTCCAGGACACTTTGCACTGAAGGGAAAAGCAAAGATAGAATAACCAAACAAGATCTTTTAGTTATCTTTTATAATTAATTTAGAAAGAACTATGTTGTTCATTTAGAGATGAAAACGGGCAGAAAGAAAAGACTTACAGAAACCATTTCAATTTTACATTCATATTAGAAAGTTGTTCACATCCCTTTTATTGCAAGAAAGCTGGTCTGAATTCTTCAAAATTCATCAAAATGCAGAGTGTTAAACAAAGAACAGTGTTTCAGGAAACTCTTGGAAGTTGTTTAGTTAACAAAAGCCTAAACCAACAGCTCACACAAAATGATGTGGATATTTTTTGGTTTTGAAGTAACAAATCACATTCCCATCTGTCATTTTCCTAAAGATGCGGCATTTTCCTATGAGGAGGCACCAAATCCTGCGGCGTGATTATTTCAGAGATGCTAAGGCTCTGCTAAAAGTCCACAGAAGTTGGAAGGTGATTGCTTGTTTGGAAGAGAGCTGGTCACCTACAGCAAGAAGGGTCAGGAATTTACATGCCTCCAAATCATTCTGTCTCACAGGGAATTCCCACAACAAGTGACAACACAAATTGCTGGACTTATTAAAAACATCGTTTAACTCCCATTCTTTGCTTGCTGACCAGCTAGGAAACTCCAGAGGTGACTCCGTTACTCATGGTGCATCAGTCCCATAATATTGCAATATTTATCTTCATCCTCAAGTAATTCCTCCAATTAAGCATTTCTATCGGACATCCAATACTTGTCCAAATTACTCTGGGATACATTATAGCAATGATCCTTAAAATAAATGTGCAGCAGATATTGGTATATATTGCAGAGGTTCATTCCAGTGCCACACTTCCCAAAAGTCCTTCCCCTACAACAATCTAACACTGACTGAACTACGTCTTGTCCCACTTGGAGAAGCCAAGACTGAAATCCTGAACTTCATTTAAGTTCATGGAAATTCTCCCATTCCCTCAACAGAACCAGGATTTCACCCCAGAAATGGAAAGGACTTTTGTTTTACTGAAAAATACTACAGGTTCTTCCAACCTTCTAAAATGGGAAGAGTTTAAACTCAAGTAACACTAAGCATCCTCCCAATTATTTCTTCTTGAAAACACAAGACATTTATAATACTTTGCCTTATAATAGAATCAAAAAATGGTTTGGGTTGGAAGAGACCTTAAAGACCATCTTGTTTCAACCCCCTGGATGGGCAGGGACACCTTCCACAAGACAAGGTTGCTCGAAACCTCATCCAACCTGGCCTTGTGACATAATGAATCACATAGTTATGGTGGGTTTTAACCTATCCAGCAGTAAAATTTATTAACAAAACCACCCTCATGTAACAATTCCAAACAGGAAGCTAAAGTATCCCCTTTTTGACTTGCCACAGAAATCCCAGTGTCACAGAAGTGATACCACAGCATTCCTTTGAATGCAAACGGCTGGATAACAACAGGAATGGCATTTTTATTAACTGGCAGCAGTACCACATCATTGACTTTGGAATAATAATTTCCAAATCCAAGGAAGGAGACCCTCTGGCATAGCTAGGTGAGAACCCTTCACCAAGGCTACACTGAGGGCACTGGTATGTGCCTTGCCGAAGTGCTATCGCAGTCCCTCCCCACACCATTGGTGTGATAGTATGTGGCCACGTAAGGTTTGGCCAGCCCGAAGGTGGAGTTGACTGGCTGCAGGCTGTTTGGGGTGCTCACTTCCTGGGAAGGGCTGCTGTTGTAGACACTGTAGTAGGGCTCAATCCGGGTGTTCATGGGAGTTGAGCTGCTCTGTCCGTAGTGCTGGTGCCCCACGGAAGCCTTGGGGCTCAGCACGCTGTCCTTGGAGCGACTAGGACCACAGGCCTGGTCCAAGCTCTTTTTTTGAGGCTTTGGAGACAACATGTATGCCGAATTGGTCTCGTGGTGGGATGACTTGTTCCTGTTGACTTCCAGGCTCCCCTTGCCCATGGCCCGAAGCCTTGTCTTCTGCTTGCAGCAGAAAAAGACAAGAGCTACATACTGCAGGCACCAGAGGACACGTCTCCGCAGCCCCGCGCTGTTCCGGGAGTATATAAAAGGATTTAACCCAGATTTGAAAAAAATGAGGGTAAACCCACACAGCTCAAACTGGTAGAGAACAAAGCCACCGCTACTGGAGAGCACGTCCTGCACCAAGGAGATGCCCAGGGGCAGGCAGCAAACCAAGACGGAGAGCACGATGACAACGCACGTCACCACCGCCCTGGAGTCTTTGGCCGTGGACAGGTTGGTGGCCGACGCCAGCTGGAGCCACCTGGGGTGCTTGGCGCGGCCGTG